TGTTGTGTACTCTCTAAATACAGACTGTCTTAATAATGTATAAGACTACCTTAAATGACTACGAATGTATTGAATTTATTGGATGTAAAATAATTATGTAACTAAGCTATTTATAGAAAGAATGGTGACTGATCCAAACAGTCACCATATGAATGAATGTGACTCGACAGACACATGAAACCAGAAAACACCACTTGTATAATTGTTCTCTATGAACAAACATAACTCATATTTCAGACCAGAGGGAAGCAAGAAAATCCAAACCATTGCAATCTAACAGATACGAAAAATTAAATTTCGGCTTAAGAAATTTACGCTCAATTAATTTAACAAGTTTTTTCCAAAAAAATAGGGCTTGGCCTAAACCACACCTGGGCCGGGTCGTGGCGAGGCAAGTAGTGCACGCTCATGTAGTAAAACCAAAGGCATGTAAACGCTCGCTCCACTCATACAATTATGGTACCCCTTGGGGCCTAATCCCATAGAGCAAATTTGACTTTTATGACCATCTAAAATTTTTTCCTCAACCAATGTGAGATTAGTGTTAAATCCCACATTGCACAACCTTTATTTTCACATTTCAAGAGTGTCACTTTAAAGACTATTTTTTCATTCATTTTTTACTTCATTTGAGCAAGTGAATATATTACATCATTCTCCTCATGGAGTATAATACAAATTCATGGAAGTTTACTTGAAACAACAAACGAGTCTCACTTCAATTTAGACTCATGATCGACCAAAAATTCAATTTTTACACTTAAAAAACTGTTTTAGTCCAAACACAACTCTGGAGAAAAAATCAACTCACCAAACGAAAAAATCCAGATTGTGGGAATTGCATACTTTATATAAGATAGGGACTTAGACTTTACCGTATCAACAAAAAAAAATGGTATCGTATTTAATTTATCACTATTGTGGGTATTTTTATCATTTTTTTCGGTACAAATTTTTTTACCACTTTTATGAATATTTTTATCACTGATGTGGTAATTTTTTTTGATATCACAACAGTGATAAAAATACCTACAAATATATTAAAAGTACTAGATTTTATTTTTTTTTGGTACCATAGACAATTCCATAAGATAGATATGAAGTAGTACCAACTATGTTATAAGATTTCTTTGTGATTTCAAGTCAATTTGAGGTTGGAAACATTATCAAAAGGACATGCATGGTGCTTAACTTTTTATTATTATTAGACCACACTTTTTTTTTTTCCTGTGGCTCGATAGAAATTGATCCTTACTTGCAAGGTCAAGTCACTTTGTAATTTGTGTGATGATAATTAGGCAGGTATACAATCATATCAAATGTTAAAATCAAAACCTAACTCATTCATTTTTGATCTTCTTTTGGAAACATGTTAACCTGTTTCATGGGTTCCCCACTTGGCCGAAAGTGCTTCGACACTGTTTTTGTCACATTCAAAATTAAGAGACATTGATCATCAATTAGTGCCATTCATTTGCAGAAGTGAGTATTCTCTTCAAAAATGACAGGCCTAATAATAGGTTATGTCGTGTCGGGTTTCAATTGTATTTAAATTTTGTTATGTAAAAGATTGCTCAATCTATAACTACTTTAATTTATAATCAAATTTACATTATAGGAGATTTGTATCGTGGATATTATAATAGAGTTCATGCTACCTCCTTTATTGAATGAGTCCAACTTAGAAGGCCCAAACGAGGCTGAATGAACTATCCAATATATCAATATATATATATATAATAAAATAGGAATGTGTTTGAATTTTATCTCAGTCATATTTTTCTCCTCAAAATCATCACCAATCACTTACCTCACCTATCATCCATTTTTCAGACTCAAATATCAAATCACATCATTCATTTATTTCAAATATTTAATCATTTATATATTTTCTCCTTAAAAATTTCACACCACTCATTTTTATTATATATTTAATTATTAATATTTAATTAATTTATAATTAATATATTTTGATAAAATTTAATATAGTGGGATCGATTTTTTAAACGCTCAAATTTTATATGTTATCGTGCCTGCAGACACGGGTTATGACTAATATATATATATATATAACCTATAGTAGAATACAATGGAACAAAGTTTGGACCTTGAGTGGGTTGTTCATCAGGCTAAATCTAATGGATCTTTCAGTTCTTAATTTTTTGTTCAGAGAATTACATTCAGACCCTTTAAAATTTGTCACTTAATTATTTACACTCTCTTATATTTGAAATATTACATACAAATCTCCTAAATTTTGTGCACACGTAACACTTAGACCCCTATCATCAATGTCCATTAGTATATTCATTAATAAATTATACTCAAATCCCCTAAAATTTGTAAGTACGTAATACTTATACACTTCAAATTCAAAATATTACACTTATATAAAAAATACTCGAATTAAAGATAAAATATCAAATATTTTAAATTTTAGAACCAAAATTCATATTTCATTATGCTATTTATTAAAATAAAATCAAAAATAAAAATCTAAGTATAATATTTTAAACTTGAGAGTCTAAATATTTCACGCATACAAATTTTAAGGAGTATAAGTGTAATTTATTAACGGATATACGAATATTGACAACAGAGATATAAGTGTTATACACATACAAATTTTAGAGCCCTATATATAATATTTTAAATATCAAGAAATCTAAATAATTAAATGACAAACCTCAGAAAGTTTGAATGTAATTCTCCCTTTTTTTGTTTTCTATTAGTAGTGCACGACGTGCGTTGCACGTAAAAAATTTTGTTGAAATATTTGGTAAACTACTTCAAAAAATTTAATTATATAACTACATTAGATATTATCTTATATTTATCATACTTAAATTATTTGTATTCTCTTCATAACTATAAACATTCAATAAACTCATTTTTTGTAATTCTTTCATTTAATCTACTAAATAGTAAGGTTCATTAATTTTTTACCAAATTATTTTGATTATAAATGAAGAGATAAGATATATATAGCCTTTTTTAGGCATTAAAGATGATATTGTATTAATAAAGTTGTCAATATGTATTAATATTGGAGTTTTAAAAAAAAATTAATATTATTTTTATATATCATGTTAAGCATAACATGACAATTCAAATTTTTTTTATAAAAATAGAGAAATTTGTATGATATATTAGATATTAGTTTGTCATTTAAATACAAATGGATGTAATGATAATTTATATATTTAAATATAAAATTACATGTTAAGATACATTTATTAAGGGTAAAATAATAAATTAAAATTTTTTTATATTAAATTACTTTTATTAGTAGTATAGATTATCAATCAGGCATGTTGTTATTAATCTACGGTATACTTTTGAATAATGGAGAAATTTGTGGACAAAAACAAATAGTCCCATGGGCTGCTTGCATTCAAGCCGTCACATACTGGACCCAGCGAGGCATGACTCGCTGGACCATTCGGCTAACGGGTCAGACCAAGGACCATGTCCTTTTTTGCCTTCCTTATGTTTAATTTGATCCAACTTTAGTGATAAAACGAGGGGTGTCAAAATATATCACGGATCGTTACCATAATACAAAATTAGAAAATTTGAGTTTTACTTAAGTTACTCGTATTATAAATGAGTAGATCCGATACGATTCGTTTATATATCAATTATATACGATTCATACACAAAATCATTCATTAAACATTAATTAATAAACGAATCAAATTCGAATCAAGTACTTTTTGATATAAACCTACTAACGTCCGACACAAATGATAGACCTGGTAGATCTAAGGGTGTCAAAATATGACACAATTCATTAACAAAACAGGAGCATGATATGAAATTAGAGGATTTGAGTCTTACTTAAGTCACTCATTCGTAAACGAGTGGACCTGATTCAATTAATAAACAAGTTGAATATAAGTGATCTCAATCAAAAGAAAAACACGACACAATGCGTCTTATATTTCGATTATACATAATTCTTACACAATACGAATCCGATATGATACAAATTAATAAATAAATTGGATATGAATTAAATATTTTTGACATGAACCCGCCTCACTCAACATAATTGATAAGTCTAGATAGAACTCGGGGTGGTTGGGCTGAAAGGGCTCTAGCTAGGATGCAATTTGAACCCAACCCATGAATTTATTCCATCACATTAGCTCATTGGTTTAGGTTCAGGTTAGAGGTGTTTATGAGACAGATTACTCACGGATCTCGTTATTTCGCCCAAAAAAAAAAATATAGGCTCAAAATCCGACAGGCTTGATAGTTGGCCCGTTCGAGCTCAATATCCTTAAAAAGAGGGTTTGAATTTGTCTTTAAACCCATTAACCCGTCCAAAACCCAAACCAATAGTCTACCCAAAAAAATCTGTTAAAACTTGATCTAAGAGCTCACTCGTCAAGCCCAGCCCCTGCCCTTCCTTTGAATAAAAAATTATACTTTTAAACCATTAAATTTAAAACTTTGAAATAAGTCTTCTAATTTCGAAATTTGAAGTTTTAAAATTTTAGATACTATAAATAATATATTATTTTCTTTTTCACGTATTAAGCATACAAGTTTTAAAAGGTAGAGTAATATAAATGATAGATAAGTGAATATGTGTCAACCTAGTTGAGATATATTCATTCTATTTGAATGTAATTCATCCTCTAATTATAATATATATATATATATATATATATATATATTATTTTATTTTTATCTATTTTGACTTTACTTTTGATTTAAAAATATAATTTACACAAATATTAAGATATAAAAATATTCATTATTTTTAAATAAAATTGTATATAAAAAGCCCACAAGTAAGGCCCACAGGATTGGATTGAGGATAGCCTAATCTTGTCCGAATTCCTACCCGGCCCACCCGAAAACTCAGTTTGGTAAAAATTTGAGCCTATACTACCCAGCCCGGTGGAAAAAATTTATCGGGCCTATTCGGCCCGGCCATGGACACCCCTACTTCAGGTTCAGCTTCATAGATCTTTGAACAGTATGTAGAGATGGCAGACAGAGACGAAGGAGCCAAACGAACCCTAATCTTCGTCTATGGAACCCTCAAACGAGGCTTCCCAAACCACTACCCAATTCAAGACCAACTCACATCAAACGACGCCGTTTACCTGGGTTCTTACATCACCGTTCATCAATTCCCCCTAGTCTGTGGACCCTACGGCATCCCCTTCCTCCTCAACCTCCCCCAATCCGATTGCCACCACCGCGTCCACGGCGAGCTCTACGCCGTATCCTCCCTGGGCCTGGAAGTTCTCGACGAGTTCGAAGGCACGAGTCTTGGCCACTACGAGAGATTGCCGATCCAGGTTTGTGGCGGAAGTGGGAGTGACGGTGGTGGTGAGGTGGTGGACGCAGAGGCGTATTATGGGCATCGTTGTTTTGCGGAGGGGATGTGGGAAAAGAATGGAAGAGTTGGGTTTGATGTGTATACAGAGGATATGGCGAGGAAGTACGTGAAGAGGGAAGATAGACCTAAGGGTCGGAGTTTTCTTGAGGCAATCCGATCCTTTTGTTCGTCTGATTCGATTGAAGTTTTGGGAATTTGATCTGAAAGCTCCAAAATTTATCTCAAATTAGGGTTTATTCATCAATTCAAGTTGCTAATAATTCAAGGCTAACCAAGTTAGTAGGAGACCCACTTCAGAATAATGGGGGTCTATGCTGCTTTTGCATTAGAAGGTTAATCTTACTCTCCAAGAGGCCTGAATATCAATAAACTAAATTAGCTGGTAAATTGGTACATTTACTGTATTGGTTATGTCTTTGCTTTGATTAATTCTTATTATGCTTTAGATATAACTGATTAGTTCTTCTGAAAATTTGTATTCTGCTTGTTGAATACGAGTCATTTTTTTAAGAAATGTAAGTGGGATTGTGATTGATATGGCACATAGGGAATCCTTCAAGGACATACTATCTTCTTTATTGGTCACTTCCTGCATTTCTATTGCTTGTTGGACTTGGGCCTAGGTTTAACCAGTCAGAAGATTTGACCTCTCAATCAAAATCTACGACATTATTGTGTGGTAACACAACAACCCTTACCTACCGCGGGAAAAAAACGGGACAATCCTTACACTAGATCCTGTGCCATTTTATCTTGGATTCCCCTTTTGTTGGCTTGACAGTTGAGCTTCGTGGTTAACACCAATTAATTGACCAAAGTCTTTATCCACATGCTTATCTTGTTAGCAAGTAGCAACATTGAGGTTCCACTTGCTTTGTGCACCACTTCTTTTGGCAAGGGCTAAGTTTCCTGCAGAATTACACGCTGCAGCCTGATATGTTGGGAAACCCTACACTCCATTGTTAGCTTTACCCCTTGTATAGTTGATCTCGATTGAAAAAAGCATCAAGCATACTTCATCTCCTTCACCGCATAAAACTAAGCATGCCAATCCATGGCACGAGGTGAGTTAAATCCACGCAAAATTGCAATTATTGACTTTGTGACACTTTAATCGTTTATACCTGACCAGGTAGTATATTGCTCCTCATACTGCATGACCACTTCTGGTACCAGCCTTGGCCTTTGACTTGGAGAGCACCACAACTTGAAGGCCCAGATGAGTTTTGGACACAATCCTAGACACTCCATTCAATGCCTAAGTTGCACAAACCATTCTTAGTTCCAGTATGAGCAATTTGGAAACTAAATGCTTGTTTGTTACTGTCCATGTTTCCACGTGTTGCAGTTTTTTTGAGCTCAGGTAGATCTTTGCGGAGTGAGAAAACTCTAATGCTACCCTATGATCTGAAACAATTGCGATTGCATGCATCATAGGAGCTTCTACTAGCTCTTTATTTAAACAGCATAGGTATATGGATAGTATGGGTTCCATTATGAAAAGAGTTGTTTTAACAGACTCACTTGCATAGCTACCATCCACTGGAACCTACTCACATGACACTACTCTCTAGGGCCACCCGACAACATAATATTGCAACCATTATAGTTAACTGCATTCTCCATTTCTGAAGATCCACTTGTCACAAGCATTCTATCTTCACTGAATTTGTCTCATCAATCACACACACGCAACCTTCACCGCATTCAAAAAAGTTATTGCCTGCCTCTGGTCCCTCGGTCTTGGAGATGACACATTTCCACCCTTCACCACACTTACAAAATTCCTTGCCAGCGGAGCTCTCCAGAGTTTGTTCCAAATTTAAGACCTGATTCACAGATGCATCACTAAAGAAAAAGGAGGCATTAGCGCAAAAGCCTTATTAGATGCACCTATTTGTTCTTCTAATGCACTACTAAGAAGTGCATGAGTCGTGAGGCAGCATAAATTAGTGCCAAAGAAGGTGTGTGTAATCGGAAGTATAAACAGTTGCCATAGTGGCTTAAAATTATCTTTCTAGAAAAAATGACATTCTTGCATGCAATGCTTGGTTTTTGAGCGCATTATGTTATTATACTTGTTTTTAGTTATATTTTGCCAGTGAAGAGAAAAGGAAGAGGGCCCGGGGGGACACAAAGACATGAAAACCTCAGCAAACAAATGGCTTCTCCTACTGCTGGCTTATCAAACTCAGACAAACTATGTGAATCTCAAGTTGATCAAACGAATTCTTAGAGGTTTTAGAACATACGTGACACAGGTGCAACTGCCACCACATTTGGAGAAGGGCTTGCCAGCTTGAGATGCATCGGTCTTGGTGATGGTGCATGTCCATCCTTCACCACCGTTACAGAATGCCTTGCCCTCTTCCATTGTTACGGTCCTGCTTAGATAAGAGGCATCAGTGTTGTAGAGCATTTATGGCTGAAATGGTCCAAACTCCTTAACTAGATGATTGTGAAAAGAACATAATATAGTAGAGTGTCAATCAACTCATGTTGTGTTGTATTCTGGTACGTTATTTTTTATTTATGTCGAATACTAGTCAATTTAAGGTCCCTAACTCAATCAGTTTAAGTAATCTTATCAGATTATATTGACACTAATGCCACTGGATTATTTTGTGTTTATGTGACATCCATAACTGATGAATCAATCTAGGACTAGTACTTCAATTTCTCTCAACCAAATTCAACCATCGGCATCATATAAACCAAAAACTACTTGATCTGACTGCTTCCAACAAAATTTAGGTTGTTTCTATTACTCATGTTGCCTCAGCATAGTTATCTTTCACTGATCATCTTGTTCCAAAAGTTGGAAGCTACAATTTACAACCCCCCCCCCCCCCCCCCCCTTCCTTGTTTTGAGTATGAATTTCCAAACAGCACTTACTTTTATCATATAAGGTTTCCTTTTCACTACGTTTCATCTTTTATTGATTTACCACAAGTTCTCCCACTTTTGCTCATATATCTATTCCTCACAATGAATCTCTCTCTCTCTCTCTCTCTCTCTCTCTTATTGTTGGTGGTGTTAATGTTACAACTAAAAACAAGAATGCATTATTAACTTAAAGTAAAAGTAATGGTACCTGAAAGATTGCTGGCCTGTGCTTGGAGCCTCCATTTTCCTGAAATTTTTTGGTTTGATTTCTGCTGTTTCAAGTCCTCTTTTGTATGATTTTTTGAAGGAAAGGCACTGATTTTCTTTTGGGCATGTTGTCTCTTGTCCTGAAGCTATATAAAGTCTTTTAACACATTATTGATCAAGTTGAGTGGTTGAACCGAAAGTCCCACTTGATTTGAATCAGATAAGTATCGGAAATGTGAGGCTTTCACAGATGTATTTTGTCTTCGTCCTTTATCTTGTCTCTTATCAGTTTTAGGACATGGGCCAATATCCAAGTCTCTGAACTGGGCCTAGGAATCTTCAAGCCCAACCCATGCATTAGTTCTTCTTTTTAATCAATCAAAACTCCTTGTCAAACTGTACGAGCTTCTTCCAAAGCATTCGGCTTTTTGGATGTAAATGTGATACCTGTATAGATGGATTTTATATATATCGTATAATAAAGTACCACAGGGGTGGATATATAAGAATCCAAATTTGTCGAATCACTCATGTTATGATTTTTTACATTTTAGGTCTTCTCGTTTCGTCATTTGGCTTATGTTCTTCATGTAGCATTCAAACCAAATGACTATGAAATTACGTCGATACTTCCACATATTATGAGTAACGTATGAGACATCTTTATTTTTCTCCCAGAAATCTTTAGAATTACCACTTCTTAGCTTTTAATTTGTCTTTGATCATCAAATGAAATGTGAATAATCCGTTTTCTTTTTTTTGAAAGAAGGGGCATTTTCGATTCTGTCAGTGCTTGAAACAATTTTGTCTTTTGTATATTACTATATCTATAGAGTCAATAATTTTATATGAGGAATTAATGAACTCAATCATTTGTTGTCATTACTCTTCAGTTTTCTGTTGAGGTATATTACTCAAATTGGATCAGGAAACTTCAAGCCCAACTCATGCATTAGTATATTTTCCTTACATTTTTATTTTATACCTTCTTTCGTAAAGGTCAGTGATTACTGCTAATCCTTTTACATGGGGGTCGGAGCAGTCGATCTTGGGCCAGCAATAGCCATATTCAGTACTAAAATATGTCACTTGTACCCAATTTTGAGATTTAATGTATGGAAAATGGTTATTGGATTGAGAATGTACTTCATTAAATGTTGGGACAGACGATTACTACTTCAATGGTCATAATTCTTTTAAATCTTCACGTTAGATTCATAAACTAGGTCTCAATAACGTTACCCTTCAGAGTTTTGCCCTGGCCCTTGTGTTGCTACATTGGATCCCATGTCTCTCCTAATGAGAGTGGACATGGGTTGGTTGGGTTAGGGATCTGCTAACCAGACTTAGTTCTGGAAGCCACATAGCAGGCATTAGGTAGTGTTAGCCGTTTGATGGGCCTAAAAACTGTCTTCGTCTAACCCAAATTTAGTGTTAGTTTCCAAAAACAGTTGTTGGGAGGCTACCCAATTTTCGGTTACCAATATGAACAGTTGCTGGGAGGCTTTTCTATGAACCTCCCTACTGAATGATGAACTTTACCAACTTTTGCCTTCAACTCGACTAGGAGATAACACACGATCAAACTTGGTCCTTATCTTAACCGCTTGAATTGAATGCATATCTCCGTCATCTGGTCAAGAAGAGAGAAAACTCCTCCTTCCTCTCGCCCTGGAATGAAAGAAATGGGTCAACATCAACCCCCGGGTTCTTTCCCCATCTACAAGAAAATAAAGTTTTGCTTGCTTTTTAATCGGGTTTGACATTCTATGCAACAACTATTCCATAGGCTCGATTGCGTTTCATCCTATAGTTTCTATCTTAGTAATGACGTCAATCAATGGCTGACTGAAGATTTTGCTTCACTGGGTGCCATTTTATTTGACATAAGCATGAGTCATAGAATTTTTTACATTTTTCTTGTGTTATTTCCGCTTATATAACCGACAATAGCGTAGCATATTATTTATCTAGACATGCTTGTTTTCCTAGTAGTCGTGCAGATCAAGTGGGAGGCCAGAAGTAGGTATATGTCACTTGTGCATCAAATAAATCAGAACGATTTGGTTGATATGATATTCGGCATTCTGTTGATCTAATTATTCACATCTATTGAATTGACAGTGAATTCTAGTATTTATTGAGATTCGCAGCTAAATCAATGGTTGTAATGTATCACATCAGTTAATTTGGTCAAAATAACATTACTGTAGAAAATTTTATGAGGACGAAAGAGATGAAGCAGTGAGAGAAGAATGTTGATTGTCAAAAGGTAAAAAGCGTGGAGAAGAAAAGGATCCACTAGCCAAGCAAAACGAAATGGAGTTGCCCACCCTAGGGTAGAGAAGGTGGTGGTCTACCATGTGATTAGCCGCAACCTAAGTTCACACTATGTTTCGGAGTTGGTATCAAAAATCGAAAGTTCCAACTCATTATTTTTTGAAAAAAAAAAAAAAAAAACTTATTTGATAATCCATTCAATCCCAACTCTTCCATCTGATATAGATCTCTCTTGCATGAAATCTTATTTAGATTGATCACCATATATATTCATGGAAATAATTAGTTGAGTCTCAAACTCAAATTTTTTGATTTGCAAATCATTAATTAATACTACAACTTGACTTCGTTTAGTTGTAACTTTTTCCATTATGATATGAAATTTTTTTCGCCCCGGATTTTCCCACTAAATTATAATGGAAAATCGGCTGTCTATAATTTTGTTTCCACCAGACAGTGCTGGCCAATGACGATGACAACCATTACCAAAAGGTTTGTTTATGGTACCCAAAAAAAAAATGGTTTTTGAGTATTTATATAATGTGGAGCTTATCAACTTTTAGGATGTATATATTTTTTGGGTTCACTTATCATTTTTTGGGGTAAAATTTACAATTTTTCTAGCTTTTTTTTTCCTCACTTTTTGGTACAGTGGTGTATTCCCCTAACAAAAACACGTCTTTAGGGTACAAGTTAAAGCCATAAGGTAGAAAATTACTGATGATGCGCTCAAGGTGGGTGGTGATAGTGATCTATATATATATAAGTATAAGTACTTAAGTAGTAATTGAAAGGACTCTTGTGGGGGCTTTAGCAAAATATGATTTCTTTTTCTCTTGTTTGGGTTAAAAGCCACAGTATCTGTAAATGTTGTGGTGAAGACCTAATCTTTACACATGTGGTATCATAGCCATATGAAGCTTTCAAATTTTATATAGAAACTATATATGGCCCCTTGTCTTAGGCTTGTTGCTGTGCACTGCTGGTTCGTCAAGCCTACCAATTAAATAAGCTTGGCCATGGATTACTTCCTTCTAATCACCTTCTCAAACTATGTTTGGACGTATCAAACCAACTTGACACTTTCATCTCTCTCTCTCTCTCTCTCTCTCTCTCTCTCTCTCTCTGTGTGCGCACACATGCATGTCCACACTAGTTGGGTAAAATAATGACATCACATAAAACAAATTCAAATCATTGCTTATTCCATTATTGTCCAAAATCTTAGTTAACTTATCTTGATTACACACAAAAGCCATTCCGACACTTCACAATTTTTGTTCGAGTGCAAATGATGATGGAAATCACCAATAGAATTTGTGGATCACAAGTAACAACAGAATAAGAAACCCAAAGTAAAATAGTTCCAAACCATCTTAAAGGATTTGAATGGAGTTGGACTCCATCAATATACCTACAAAAGATAAGAAAAAAATAGGTTTTTGCATTATGAAATCTTTGATGTAAAGATATTATATGCCTAACATGATCAACTATCTCTATGTGGGCTACAGCAAAGGCACACTAGTGGGATTACTGAAGTGAACTGAGAACATTCTTGGTGGTGTTTGTGTTCTGGACCACTTTGTGGGGACAAAAAGCCTTCTCGTTGCATGTGTTTCAACCACTCTCTGTGCTTAAACGCGCATTTGAACCCCTTGCAATGCCTATAAAAAGCCTCGGTTCCATGCATTTCGGGGTCATGCTTTGTGGGAATCAAACACATTCTCATGGCTACCAATAAAGTTTCTACTGTAATGTTCTTTGTGTTATTGGGGCTAGCCGTATGTTCTGCAGCTAGATCCCTTCTCACGCTTGAAGAGAGTGTTGGATACACTCATGGCTCAGGCGGCGGTGCTGGTGGGGGTAGTGGCTATGGAGCTGTAGATGTTCATGGCTATGCAAGTGGTGGTGGTGGTAGTGGTGGTGGTAATGGTGCTGGCCATGGAGCTGCTGGAGAACATGGTGCTGCATTTGGTGGTGGCGGTGGTGGTGGAAGT